ACCCCAATAAAATAAGCTAGAAAAAGAAAGCATTCTGTGCTTGATCTGTTTATCAGTAAATTGAAACAGCAGTTCAAGAGAGCATCAGTCTCGCTGCCTGGCTTTTTAGGCAAGCAGGCTGGAGCTGCTGGAACTACACAGGACAGCAAAGAAAAAGGAAAAGCCCCAGAGCAAGCTCTGCCACTCTTACAATTTTGCAGCAGTTGTCTTAAAATTAGCAGCTTTTTGGAGTGACTGCAGCTTTCATAGTCTCCTCTTGCTGAACTTCTGTCAGAGAAAAACATTCACCCAAGATCACGACAGCAGAGCATTATTTCATGTGTGCTCCTCTCCCCGTTTTTTGTTCTTCACAGCATAAATATAAAATTGTTTGGGGCAGTATGTATAGGGCAGTATGTATGGAATTGGTAGTGGAGCCACAACAATTACAGTGATGAAGATACTGAATGAGCTGATACAGAACGCAGCAAAGGATGGCAGGAAATATAAATAATGGGTATATACAGATATCGATGCAGATATGGAATATAGATATTAGAATACAGATATAGAAAGCACGCTTAAAAAGACTGAATATGTATGTACTGTATGGAAAACATGCCAAGATACTGAGATAATCAATAACTAAACAACAGTTCAGACGTCTATTTTGCATATATGCAGGGAAAACATACTCACAGGTAAGGTGTCTTTTAGGTAAAAATGTAGGTGTTGCAAAGATGCCAGAGGTAAAATCGACTGTGGATTCCATCGTAGCACCTGGGCATTTGAAAAACTCCGAAGTAGTTTTACCAACAGCCCTGTTTTCTGTTGAGGCAGAAGCTAGGAGAGGGTTAACCCAAAAAGAACTTATTCAATGAAAATACAAATGTTGGTGTAATAAATAATAAATTCCTTAGGATTATATTTAGACATCATTACCATAATGCTTACCAGTTCTCTGTCTGTACTTAACTGTTTCGTCTCAAAAGAAGGAGACAAAATGTTTATTTTGGGGAATCAAAACAATGGTATGAAATCAAAGAGAGTTGATGAAGGAAAAGTTGCTGTTAATGGAGTGCTCTGGTATTTTGTCAGTACTGTTACAAACAATACATTATCCTTTTGTTTCTTTGCAATATAGGGGAAAAATGCCCACATTATTCAAAAATGCTTTGCAAATACGGAGTTCAGTTCAGCATAGTACTGAAGTGCACGGTGACTGCACTTTCAAATGTGCAGGGTACAAAAGCGTAAGTTCTAGATAGGCACAAGTGAATATTTTAGAAATAAAATATAATTACTTTTTCTCCAAGTGAGAAGTCCTAGTGAAACCCAAAGTTGTTCCCCTCTGCTTTAAATTGGTACTTGGCATCTTCTTAGAGATGATTGAATGTTATTTTATCTTCATATAATGCTAAATGACTATTTGCTGAAAAACTGAGGTTCTTTTAAGATAGCTTATGTGGGACACCAAATCAATTGGGGTATCTGAACTGGACTAACAGTCATCTGAAACATCTTGGTCTCTATTTCCTGCTCTTACTGACTTATTAACATGGTTGTGGCAGAGAGTAAGAGAGCAAAAAAGCAAATGTCAGTGCAGTTATTTGTGGGTAATGCTTCCATCTGGAGAGCAATGAACATTGGTGTTCTTGCAGAGAGGCTAGAGTGTACAAACCTTCCGTGGAACTGCTTTCCTAGAAACGAAGTGAAAACCCTATTGCAGTAAAAAGTGGAAAAGACCACATTCTGTAAAGTGTCTTTTGCTGGACCCTTTGAAATTTTCCTCCCTTGGCTGGTGCTGAGAGACCAGGTGAGGAATGAAGAGACCCAACTGCTGCTTGTCCTCCATGCCACTTGTATTTCCCTTTGTTCTGTAGCTCTGGTGGAAGTGAAATCACAGAATCACAGAATGGCAAGGGTTGGAAGGGACCTCGGGAGATCATCCAGTCCAACCCTCCTGCTAAAGCAGGGTCACCCAGAGTAGGTTGCACAGGACATCATCCAGGCAGGCTTTGAATATCTCCAGAGAAGGAGACTCCACAACCCTCCTGGGAAGCCTGTTCCAGTGCTCTGCCACCCTCAAAGTAAAGAAGTTCTTCCTCATATTTGACTGAAACCTCTTCTGCTTCAGTTTGTGCCCATTGCCCCTTGTCCTGTCACTGGGCACCAGTGAGAAGAGTCTGGCTCCGTCCTCGTGACTTCCACCCTTAAGATATTTGTGTGTGTTGATGAGGTCCCCTCTCAGTCTTCTCTTCTTCAGGCTGAACAAGTCCAGCTCTCTCAGCCCGAGTCTATTTAACTGTAAATAAATGTATGTGTCAGTCAGTGAGAAATGTGGAAAAGGAGGAGAGCTCTGCAATTGCTCATATGTAACCAGTATGAGGAACTAAGCACTGAAACTGCTGACACTGATCATGTTGTCTGGCAGGAGTCATTAGAAGCAGGATTGGCAAAACCAGGGTACTTGGAATTTAAGCTGCCTGGCTGGACTCGCAGTTCTCCAAAGCAGAAGGCAAATAGTCGTGTGACCAGCTGTTTAAGCCTAAATCCATAATACAAATAATGAGTTATTGCATAAAGTATATGAGCAGGCAATCAGTTACTAGAGATCTAAACCAAAGTATCAATATTTTTGCGTAATGGAAGCCAGAGATCGTTGTCTTCGGGCACTTGTGGTTGGAGAATGGACCCTGAAGGGTGCAAGTGCGTTGCTTGCTGAACTTGTGCTGGCAGTGGAAGACAGCAGGGGCTTTGGAACAGCTCTTCTGAGTGGATGCTCAGCTGGAGAACAAGTGTTATGATGGCTGGGTCTGCTTTAGGATGCTCTCAGCACCATAGGTTGAGCTCTAAACAAGAACAGTACCCTGCAGAGATATGTAGTGGTGGATACGCTTCTGAGCCGTGGGCACGTGTGAACTACAGCGGCGTAGTCCAAGCACAGCAGCACCTGCCTGAGGATGGATTCTTGGTCTAGAAAGGCTGACACACTCAATGTAAAAGGCAAAGACATTACATGAGATTAGATTGACAATAGATTTTTTAAATTTTGAGTTTATTTGGTGAAATTATCTGGGTGGTGGTTGTTTTTTTTCCCAGATTGTTGCTCAGATCTCTACAGTTGATGGCAGTTTCCCTTCCACATCATTTGCCTCTATTACGATGTGCTGTAATCCCAGTTTAACATCCCCATAGCAAGCTGTAGCAGTGAGCAAAATATTTATCTGCACACTACAGCCTGTTTCTGAGCTTAAGGTGATGAGATGTGTGTTTTCCTTACAATCTTCTAGTAATTTGAGTTACTATTCCACATTGGAAAAACAATCTCATCAGCAAGAGCTGTGAGATTTCCCTGTTTTCACAGTTATGTGAATGCCACCCTTCCTGAAGTAATAATCGCTCGTTAACCTTACATTTGCTGCTCTTTCAGATTTCGCAGCCAGAACTGACACTGCTGACAGCTTGATAAACTGTTTGCCACTTACGATGGCTTTGCCTCTTCCAGGAGCACTCTTTTCTGTGTGCACTCACTTTGAAGAACCACCCTGATTTTAATCTGAAGCTTCTGCGTAAATTAGGCAGCCTTTGCTGCTGCAAAACTACCGAGGGTAAAAAATGTGAAATTCTGGCTCAAGAAAACGTTGCCTATAATAAAAGAATGGTTCATGTGGAACCGTATTTCCATGGCACTAATAATATGGGTGCCACTTGATGTGGGTCCTAGTTTCACGTATGGGTCTTGGCAGTAAGATGATACAGTTGAAGATAAAGTTTGCGGGTTATAGCATTTCATTTCATGGTCTGCTTTGATAATTTTCTATTTGCTTTTTAGGTAACTTGGTGACAAATTTACCGACAGGTGGTGCTGCTGCACTAAATCCTGTGTATTCAGTCTTGATTTGGGAAAGGAATGCTGGCACTCGTACTTCAATATCCCAGTGACTGCTCAGGCTCTAAAGAAAAATACCATGAAATATTACTCGGGTATAATCTTTTCCATGTATTGCTGGGAAGACAATTAGAATAACGAATCAGGATCTTTTATTATAACAAAGTTATTCAAAGTTATTGTGCTTGTATATAGCATCTCTCAAAACAATTCAACGCATCCCACATGGGAAAGATCTTGGACTGTCTGACTCTTCTTGCCTCTTCAGTGTGCTATGTACATTTTCTTAATACTCGCTGAAGTAAATAACTATTTCCATACATAATGCTTGGGAACAGAAAGACAGAAAAATTACTTGTCTGAGTCACGCGGGAAGTCTTCGTCAAGGCAAGGAATTAAATCCAGGTAACCTGTGTCAGACCTAATTTACTTGCTGTTGGTCAGGTGCTTCTTCCTTAGGAAATAATTTGGGAAGGGATGTCTGTCCTGTCTGGCAGTGGCAGAAACTTCAGTGTAGCATCGGAATGAGCAGGAACGTGGGTATGCTACCTCTGCCCTCTTTCCCAGAAGCAATGAAGCATAGCTATTTTATTACGTTTGTTGTCATTAGTCAGGGCTACTGCTTGTTTGTCTGAGGCTACCAATAAACACAATGTGATTCATGCAAAACTGCTCAAGGGATGGCTTGACTCCAGAAGCGCAGTTTAGCCTTTATTTGGCAGCTGTTTGCTTAATGCAGAAAAATGTCTATGAAAGCTATGAAAAATGAATCTGTGCTGTAACACACCGCTTGTAAAATCCACTTGATTTATCCTGCAGAAGACATTACGGTATAAAGGAATAATAAAGACAATGCCTACCTTCATTTTCCTTTCTTTTTTGGTTATGCTGTCATCTTCCATATTATTGCAATGGATTCTGGCCTACATGGAGTCATCATGATTAATAAAATGTCTTTATAATCAAAGATGATCTGTGATGCTGAGCTTTGAAAAGGACATTTTTTTCATCTAATTGTAACATGTGTGGAATTTTCTTTCCCTTGTATGATTACTCTGATTTAATCCTGAACCGCATGGGAGAGATGCAGTGGCACGGAGTAGGAGGGCGTTTGAAGAGGCATAGTTACCTCTCCAGAAGTAGGGCATCGTCCGTAGGTGCTGTGTTATTGTCGTAGGCTGGTTACTGGTTCTGTCTTTTGTTCTGTGGGTAAATCTAAAGCAATGATTTCCTTCTTGGGGCCTCTGAATCTCTGGAGATCTTTGGGCCACTTCCTTGGGGTCCTTGGCCCTAATCAAGGTATCGGAGAAAGGCAAGCTTATTGTTTAAATGTGATATATACGGACTGCCATTTCCAGTGAAAAAATAAATACATTAGGGTTCTACAAAGTAGGAAAGCTTGAAAATTGTTGCTCTAAATGATGTACCCTGCAGAAACTGGAAGTGTGAGAGTGAGTAACATAAATGTAAAAATACAGAAACAAAACAGCTTCATGCTGGGAAGGAAGCTCAGATTTTTCTGACCTACCTGAAGAGGGCTAAGAAGACAATTGCCTGGAAGCTCTGAAGAGTTGGATTCATCTCCATTAACGTTTTGATTTGGATTGAGAGTGCACCTTTGAAGTGGATCTCCCAACCATCCCCAGTTTCTGTGGTTTGGTTCAGAGTGCTCTCAGAGCACTGAAACTAGAATAATCTCAGAAGAAACCAGGCTGGAAGAGGTACTCTAGGAGCACACCTAGCCCATGTTAGTGGGTAGTGAGCGTGCTAGAGGTGTGACTGGACTAGAAGGAGTCTGAAGGAAACCCCCCTGAAACACGTGTGGTCTGGGCATCATGTCCTCAGTGGCGGGGCTTTTGGTCTGCTGACGCAGGTGCAGCCTAGCTGGTAGTGTGAAGTGGGGTTCCACCACGGACCATGGTGAGGCTATGGGCCAGTCTGCACGTGGAGATGTGTGACAGCCTTCATGCTTTCAAAGTAGCCTTCTCAGAAACAGGTTGGCTCTCACAGATGTTTCTGTCATAGATGAGACCTGGGTGGGCACTAATTAACCCTGTTATTGCGCTGTGCTGAACGGAGCTCCAACCAACCAAGGGGATCAACACAGGTGGCAGGGGACTGTAGCTGACCAGCAAGAGAGCAAATGTCTCGAGAAACTGGAAGAGGGTGGCGTTATCCCTGCGGGAGTCCCAGTTATGTGTTATTGTTCCCCTAAAATGTTCATATTGTCTTGCCCAAATATTTTCTTTTTTTTAAAACATGCAGGTCCCTGTAAACACAGGTTGGTTTAGCTCGCCTACGTAGTGTGAATAATTCTCTTCATTCCTTGATATTACTTCCTTCAGGGTATTTAAACTCTTTTATCATCTCCCTTCAGGCTCCTTTTATCTGACAGTATATATTAGACTCCTGTTTTCTCTATTTTTATGTCTCAGTGTCCAATCTTGCTTTCATTTATTTGCCTATCTCTGTCTTTAAATATGTGGGATAAGCTAGCATACTGATACGGCATTTTGCTAAGGTAACAGAAAATTTCATACAATTCTAGGTAGATCATTACTGCATCACATAAAGCCCCTCAAAATTCAGCTTGGACTTTTTTAAAGACACCTGCTGTTCCAGTTTCTTTTACATACTCAGCTTTGTTAAATTATATATCTAGTGGAGGGGGGTTTTGTGGTTTTTTTTCTGTTTTTATTTCAGCAAGTGAGATCTACAGAAAATGTGTTTATTTAAATGACAAGTTGAAATTGTCTGAAATAATTTTTTTTCACTCCTTTGCTTACAGAGAAATTCTGCAAAGACTGCAGTCTTGCCACAGGACTGCTATGGATGCCTTTGCACTTGGGCATAATCTCATTAGTATCACCAGGATTTTTCACAGGCATTAAGGTGCACCAATATAAATCCAATTTAGCGATTAAGACATAGCTATGACAACACACACACCAAAAGAAAAGCCTTAGCTAAGGAAGCGATGCATGGTTGGAGGATGAGAGACAGCGAGCGTACGTGGAAATGAGAGAGATTCACAGGTTGCCCAGAGAGGCTGCGCGGCCTCTGGGTCTGGAGGTTTGCAAGACCAAACTGGATAAAGCCCTGCACAACCTGGTGTGACCTCAGAGCTGACCCTGCTTTGGGCAGCCAGTTTGACTGGAGACCTGGTGAGGTCCCTTCCAACCTGAATTTCCCTATGATCCTATGAAAAAGAATGGCTGCAGATCTACATAGTGATGTATGGGAAAATATTAATAGTCCGCAGGAGTAAATCAGTGTTTACGGAGCTTCCTTCCATAGTCATTATTGTATTACGTTTGTACAACCTTATGAAAGAACAGATTTTCATTTCTTTAACAGCTGGGATCAACCAATTGCTCCGGTAATACATTCTATGGAATATTTTGCTGGTCCTATCCTCAAGATGGCAAAACCAAATTTACAAACATCTATAGATGTTTACGGTTGAAAATAGAGCCCATTTTTGGAACCATAGCACATTTTATAGGTAGCTTGCTGAGGCAAATACCCTTTTATATGACCATTTGAATCAGTCAGGATTTATCACTGTGAAGGGGCCAGGGCCATAAAATATAACAGGACATAGACTCCCTACTAAAGAATCTTCTAGGCTGCTTTAAAATCGTACAGCATTTTATAATCCTATAGCAAATCCTGTAGCACCTTTCTTTGAAGGTGTGTATTGCCTACTCACAGAGAATAACTTATGTTCTGAACTACCAAAGCTACTGTTTGGTTTTGGTTTTTTTTTTGTATAGATGTACTTTTCAGAAGATCTTCCACCTAAGTGTAAATTTAGGCCAAGGCTCTTGGCAGGTGAAGTTGGAAGAGACCGTGACACTAGGCAGCACAGAACAGACTCATGGGAGATAATTCTAAATGTGCTTTAAATGAAGAAGGAGGGTGCCAGGTATATCACACCATGGTAGAATGAGATGAAGAATGTTGATGTATTCAGGATGAAGCCACTGAAAAAAACCTGTTAAATAAACAGAAATAAGGCATAGATTTATCAAAGAGAAAAACCTTAGATGTAAACATGCTTGTTATCCACAAGGGTTTCCGTAGAGGAGAACTGACTGAAGAAACCACCTCTTGACTTGAGCTTTGATGTACAGCTCCGTTTCGCAGTGCAGTCAGATGTGTTGATCCCTCTGGCCACAGGGCAGCTGCCCATTTTCCTTCCTCCCTCCCTCCCTCTCCCCCTTCTCCTTCTCAATTTTCTTTTCCTTCCTTTCTGTCTTTCTGTCATTTTTTCTCCCTTCCCATTCTCGTTCCCCTTCCCCTTCCCCTCACATATCCATAGAAAAACAACCTACAGACACGACTTTCCCAAACATCTAGTATGTTACTACTATATTAATACAGAAGGAAAGGAAATGAACCATAAAATCATTGACAGATCAAGAAAAAAAACCTGGCATGTATCACATGGGAGAAGAGTACTAAGAATAACATGGTTTTTTTTTTTATTTCTAAGGAAGAATTATAATGATATGCAAATTAAAGGCAGGAGTAACAGAAGAATGGAGACCCAGACTGCTGCATGTATAATACTTCTGTAAGTCTGAAAAATGAGTGTTAGAGTTTTTCAGGTGACTTGTACAGCCACCTCTATGTCGGTCATATAGGAAACCATATCCAGTTCTGCCCAGATATTTAAAGTACCCATTTGGGGCTCTCTGTTTAGGAAGTGTTCCTGGCGACCTAACACACTGGTGAAAGGAACATTAGAAAATTGAACACAGACGACATTGTTGAAATCCACCTGGGCGAGTGTAGGAGATACAGTTGCTCACCTTTCACAGGCAACTCAACTGAGAACACCAGGTCTAATGGTCTTTAGATTATGGAAAGAATTATTAATTGCCTTATGGCTAGAGAGTGTGGTATATTCAGTGGCAGGGCTTTTTGTTTTCATGTATGGTGCTGAAAATAATTGAGCAATGAAAAATCCTGTTTAGGACTGTAATAACAATTAATCAACAATGAGCATGTTATAAAATATGGCTTGGTTGTTCATCCGACGCAAATCAGCTCTTGTTTGAAATCAATAGAGCTGTGGCAATTTATGCCAGCAAAGGGCTTGGCTCTTTTTCTTTTGAATGAATAATATACCCAAGTATTAATTTTTCTTTCTTATACCAAGTGCCAGATTTCAACCTGTTCGTTCACAAAGCTGTGGAACTCCACCAGTTGTAAACCACCCTGTCTCCCATAATTCAGTGCTTTCTAGGATGGGGTTTGGCATTTTCCATTTTTCTCTTTAATGTCACCCAGGTGAAATAATGTAATGGTGAGTTTAGTCATGCCTGGTAATCTGAAATTAAAAGTTAAACCAGGACTGGAATCTTTTCTTATCTATGCCTCCAAAAATCTGGTGTGATGCTCATGAAGTCTTAAGTGTTACAGTGGTGTGAAATAATTCCTGCCCTAGGATATTTATTGACGTGAAAGAAAACAGCAGATCCAGGCTGATGAGGAGCTGGTTTTTAACAGAAATGGAGAAGTACTTTGTCAGAAACAATGCTGTAGCGCTGTAACAACAGCATAGCAGACCTTAGAGGGGGGAAGGCGATTATATTTTAAAACAAAGCTGATTTCATTCATTCATCCACACATTCCCACAAGCACGTACAACACCAAAACCTGTATGCCCGAATAGTCTGCCTACCCTTGGAGCACCGAGATGCGTTATGCAGGCAGGCAGACCGAGATTCCCTGTGGTGACACAGAGGACAAGAGAAACGGGCCAGTTCCTCTGCACATCCTCTTGGTTCATCTTAGGTTGGTAAGCTTGGACACGCCTTTTTTGTTCCCCTTGTAAACTGTCAGGGATTAGTCTCTGTATCCTGTCTCACCTCTGAGTCATCAGGATTTACTCGCAATCTTTTGTTTCCCAGTCAGGGTATCCTGAAAAGAAACATGGAGATGTGCTGGGATCTTGATGATCTCCTGATCTAGGTGACACCAGCACATGCCATTCTTCGAGCCCTCCTCCTGGCGTCTGAGCCTTGTGCTCCCACACCCATACATTTTTCTTCATACCAATCTAAACATCTCTACTCAAATTCTCTACAATGTGAGACAGATGCTGTTCTCCTGATTTTTAATGTAGACATTTATGATG